TTACTTCTTGCTTATACAACACATCTATTGTGGACTGGCAAAAGAGGGTACCCTAAAAGCTGGAAGGCATTAGCACCTTTCAGCCTGGTAAGACTTTGAACTTTTGGATTCTATTCTTTTTGACTCTTGCTTTTAAACCTGCCATTTCCTCCTGAACTCTTCTCTTACTTATAATACTTACACTTTGTCAGCTGTAGTCAATAATAAACAAATTCAAGCTATCCTTTTTACCTAGGGCTACATGCTCATTTTTATGTTAACTGCAGTCCATGTTAGTGTAGGGGATAGTTTCACAAAATATTTTATTGCTACATCACATGCATCATCATTTTTCTAGCTTCCGAATCAAGTTTCATCATTGTCTACTGCCTGACTCCAAAGTATTTGGGGTTTTTAATGCAGAAGCACTAATTCCATGCACCAATTTCTATATCAGAGTAAGTTAGTTTATACTATGATAACCAACACAATTTCAACAGGCAGAGATTTAAAATCTTTTTACAGGAAGAGGCACTATATATTTATGACCAGTAATACAATCTACCACAAAAATAAATATACCACTCATAAGTTTCTTTCTTTATAGACCTGAGGTATTAGTGAAAATTCCCATTTTTGTTGACTTGTAAGCATGACTTTTTAGTGGACAGAACATAGAATTCAGTGCTAGGTACATGTCTTTGCTATATGTCTCTTCACGTCACTCCAGAGTTATCAATATTTCTTTCTGAGTGGCTGCTGTTGGTAAATTTAAAGTAGTTTTCATATTTTTTACTTATTTCATTAGGGATCTGTGGAGAAAAATTCTGTGAGGGAGATTCCAAACAACATTGTCTATTCCCTTCTTTGAAGCTAGCCCGTATATAAGAGACATGCATAAAATGGTCTCATATCTTTCTTTAAATTGAATTTTACAAGTTGTCTTTCCCAAAATTTCTGGAAAATCACTGACCTTGGAATCAAAAAATGTGCATTCCAGCCTAAGCTCTGAACCAGGTGGCCATGAGAAACTAGCCAAACAATTTGATCTCTCTAAATTTCTATGGCCTTACTGAAGAATGAGACGGGTGAACTCTGTGATCAGCTCTAATATTTTATAATTCTATTTTTAAAAAAATCAGTGTCTTTTTCTTTCTAAACTTTTTAAGACAACACTTAAATATGAAAAGTTTAAAAGTAAATTACATAGTGACTTTCTCAAAGTTATTGTGGCATTCATTGTGTTCACATTAAAATAAATGAACACTTTAATGTCTATTCACTAAATAAATATTTACTAAGGAACATATATAGGTCATGTATTAAGCTAAGTGCTAGGGGTACAAAAGTTAAGACAGCTATTAAGCAATTATAAAGAATTACAAAAGGGAAGGTAGTACAAGAGTTACAAAAAGGGGATTCTAACAATCTAGAGAGTCAAGAAAAGCCTTTGGTGGAAAAGAGTTTAGCTTAGAAGAAAGATAATGAATGTGGAACAGAATATGTAAAGCAGTATGAGTCAAAACACAAGTTAATAATATTAATTATAAAAGTTTGTTATATATAGAAAGTTATAAAACAAGCCTAATAAGCACTAGGCTAATATACCTACACTGAAGAAGCAGCCATAAAGAAGGAACTAAGAACCATGGAGGCTTATTTCTAGGTTTTGATACTATTCAAGGAACTATAGCTAGAGTTTGCCCATCAGGATTTCAAAACTGCTTTGGATCAGTAACTCTTTTGCCTCTATTTGCCCTTTTTGAACTGTTATTTCTATGTCTTACAGCTTTACAGCATCCAATTGGATTGTATGTTGGAAGTGTTAGTAACAGGTAACCTCTCTTTAGTTATGTAGTTCCATAAATGAGAAGATTTTTTTCCTAGAGGCAGTACTTAATGAATTATGCCAGGAGCCCTATTCACTCCAGTTTTAGTTTTTTTACTTTGAGCTAATGATGTACTGGGATGAGATTCTGGGGATTCTAGACTGGAGTGAATGTATTTTACATGTGGGAAGTATGTGAATGATGGAGGCCAGAGAGCAGGCTGTGGTAGGCAGAATTCTAATATGGCCTCATGACCTTCATTCCTTGGTATTATTCCTGTAATTAAATTACATGACAGAGCAGTTTTGAAGGTATAATTAAGATTACAAATCTGTTGACATTAAGATAATGTATTATCTGGTTGGATCTAACCTAATTATATGAGCCCTTTAAAAGCACAGCGCTCTCTCTGAGTGGTAGCAGCAAAAATATATCGAAAGCATGAGGGGGATTCAACATGAAGTCCTCTGCTGCTCACAGATGAAGGGGGTCACATGGAAGGACCTGAAAGCAACTTTTAGGAGATGAGAGAAGGCCTCTAGCAGTTCCAGCCAACTACCAGCAAGAATATGGGGATCTCAGTTTCCCATATTCCTCACCAATTTCCATTGTTACCTAACTCTCTTTCCAATATATATTGGTAGAATCAGAGAATATTAGAGATGGATAGAACCTCAGAGATCATTTTGCCCATTCCTCTCATTTTACTTATGAGAAACCTGATGCCCAAAATGATTAATTTATGTAGTTTACATGGCTAGTTAGTAAAGAGAAGTCATTCTTTTCAACTCTTAGTTTACTTTCTATCATGCCATGATCAAGGAGGCATACTTCAAAATATATCTTAATTTTAACTACAGGGAAAGTCACTGTTTAGTCCTTACAAAGTCATTTTGGTGACACTGGTCTATTTCTCTCTCAATGTATTGATCCATCAGTTCCTGAAAAACTAGCTATAAAACCAAATTTTATATGCAAAATTCTATTTTCTAGTATTATCCATGAAAATAAGTAAGTTTTAAATATGTTTTAATAGTAGTTTGCAAATTCTTTGGCTAAATTAAAACTTTCCCTTGCCAAAAGGCTAATTAATATCCTTGCAACAACAACAACAATAACCAATAAGTAATTATTCAAATGCTATTAGCATAAATGTTTAATTATGATATACCTCTCACATATACATTATTACATCTTACAAAATTAGAGCGAAACTCACCCAAGTAAATTATTATCACAAGACTTCCCCATATAGTTAATATTAAAACTTAAGCAAAGAGAACATTAACACTACAGTATTTATAAAATATATACATTCTTTCAGTGTTATATTTTAATAACACAACTGACAGTCAAAATTATGAGTATTAATTGCCTACTTGTGGTATGCTGGGTTGTTTCTGGCACAGAAGTCAAAAACAAGCAATGGAATTTTGAGAAGGAGAGAAAGAAGAAAGCAAGAGAGAGGAGCATTTAAACATAGCTGTTGAATTTGAGAAATGTGTCAATGCAGAGAAAAGATTCTCTAAGAGCAGAAGATAAACAATTTTATTCAGAGCTAAATGTTATATCTTAAATCTTAAAAGCTATTTATTTAACAATGTCTCCTTTTTGTGAAATTTGGCAAAAAAAGATTATAAAATCAATGACTATAAGCTAACACATGTAGGTACACATGTAAGTAATACAAATTACTTAGTTTGACTAGAGGTAAGGACATATTTTCTACAGCTTCATTTTCTTTGTGAAATTAATATAATTAAAACAGAATTAAGAACAGATGATTTGAAATAAATAAGCAATACAAAATACATGCCTCCTGAAGGTACATTCTTTCTATTCTAATTTAAATCAGTTAGTTCTATATAAGGGTGTTTTTTCCGTAGAATAACTAGTAATCACTCAGACCAAATAATAAGAAAGTTTAAAAATCATATTAATAATTGCAGATATTCAATTTTATGAATAATTTGTTCTTTTCCCCCTGAAATATTGCATTAATTTTCCTATTTTCTCTTCTCTTTTAAACTGCTGATATCATTTAAAAAGGAATTTCCTCAAAATGGTAATGCTGAAAAATTAAAAGGATAAGTTATCAATTTTCCCAATAAAAATTAAATCTTATCCTACAAACCTATGTGAATATACTATGCTTACCATCATCTTTTTATATTTAAAGATGCTGAGGTCATCTATTTAAAATGGTATGGTTTGTTTGTGAATAAAGATTCTATAAGATAAAATGCTATATGGTGTAAATGCAATGAGACCCTAAACTTGGACTTGGGTTTACACATTTGAAGGCTTTAAATGACCCTAAAATACTATACCTTTAAAATATAAATCTATTCTAAAATTTGTATATTTATATTTTAAAATTCTTTTTATTCAATATAGCAGAGAGCAATAAATACAAATTATAATTTACATTTATAGCACATCACGATACTCTCATAATTTAAATAATTATGAGGTATAATGTTCCTCCCTGGTTTAAACAAACAGTGCTGACATGTATTTCCTGTGATTTGCAATGACTTGCGGGAATTAAAAATATGGAGAGAGAAAGATTTTTATGTGTTATAATCTGGGGGGAAAAAAGAGAAAAGTAACTCAAAGCTTAAGTGTTCTCCCAGAAATATTTCAAAATCTTTGTTTAGAAAGGTTGGAAAGTATGAGGGAAGATTGTTTTGAAACTTTTAAATAATTTCATGGCAGTCCTGGAAAGATAACCAGTCATGACCTAAGGAGAAGTACATATTATGTAAGAGTAAATAATTTCTGCAATATAGCAAGCAAGATGTAGAGCTGGATAGTTCTTAATCAATCTCCTAATTATAACTAGGAAAAAGAAAACAATATAACCCATATGGAGTTTGAATGATATCATAATCATCAACCATTTAATAAATGTTCAACAAAGGAATAAATATGTAAGACTTTGGGCAGGAACTCTGTGAAGATTAGAAAAAAATACAGAAAATAAAACATGAATCACTTTCAAGAACAACTTTTGTAGATAAGAAAAAATTATACATACCTATCCAGGGCTTAGAAATTGTTGCAAGGGTATGGTTACTGTGTAAAAAATTAGACTGGGAAAGTTGTTGAGTTGATTAACGATTTTAAAAATTGAATGTATCATATATCATGAACATAAATTGCATTCAGGCCATTTGATGAGATACTCACAGAATGATTGTAAGAAGGTTCCAATATCACAGGCAATGACATTTTCCCTTGAAGATTCAATTTTGTTAAATAAAAAATCTTTTCCCCCACAATCTTTTCTTTTTTCATGCGATGTACACCATACAGTCTAAACCGAACTGCATAATTTCCAATCATCTCAGATTCAACATGATTAAATTTAAATGTTTCTGTGAAGACAGGGCATGGTCCTCTCTGGATGCTGGTTTTTGCTCTTTGTTTCTTTATAGGTAGAAGAACAAGGTGTACTTGCCATGAGTTGCCACCTGTCCTGTTATACGTTGGTATGTCTGTGACAGCTGTCACTGTTACCAGAAGCTTCTGTTCTTGTGAGTCATAGTCAAAAGTCACATCCAGTGTGCCATATTTAGCTTCTGGTTCAGGATCAAAAGATTTGGGGAGCTGTGAAGATGATCCTTGAGCTGACATATCCTAAGAAAAGCAAAGTTAAATATTTTCAGTTTTTAACTCTATTATTTAATCTAACATGTAAATAGATACCTGATATTTCTTTAGGAGGAGGATGTAAAAACAATTTTCATTTGCTGCCACAAAGAAAGTAACACAGTAATAACTAACAGTCAACTACAGTCAAAAGCTACCCTATAGGGCTAGAATAGAATAAGCAGTAAGTTAAACCCAACACTTATAATAAAAACACATTTAGAATTTAATATTCATCATCACCATTCTGAAAACGTTTGATGTTTCTATAAATGAGAATTAAAGTATATCCCTTAATGTATATCTCCTGTTCCTTTTCTAAGAAACTACTAAATTTTACTTTCTGCATTATAAACAATACAATTGACAGCTCAATATTAGGTTGAAAGAATGGGAATATAAATAAAATATAATGCAATTTAAAAAACTGATTCTATTTTCAGGGTTTGTTCTAAAATGTCCCCATCTGCTACAGAATGCAAAGATAATCAGACTTAAAAATTAAAGGAGAGGTGAAATATTGAAGTATATATACAAAGGTCTCAAATTATTTGCAGCCAAATATTTATTCTCCACAACACAGACTACATTTACTTCAATTTTTAACTAAAATTCAAAACAATATATTATTTTCTAATATTAATTACTACTGAAAATGGGGGCCAGGCACAGTGGCTAATGTCTGTAATCGCAGCACTTTGGGAGACACAGGAGGGAGGACTACTTGAGGCTAGGAGTTTGAGACTAGGCTGGGCAACACAGCAATATCTCATCTCTATAAAAAAAATAGCTGGGTATGGTGGTGCATCCCTGTACTCCTAGCGACTCTGAGGCTGGCTTGAGCCTAGGAGTTTGAGGCTGCAGTGAGGAAGATCCCGTCCCTTCACTCCAGCCTGGGTGAGACCTTGTCTACAAAAACAAACATACAAACAAACAAATAAACAAATAAATAAGTAAGCAAATAAACAGAATATACATTTCAAAAGTTCAAGAAAGATTGACACTGTATGTTTTAATTATGAAATTAAAGGAAATTACACCCATTTTACCTGTCATTGTCTCAAATTCCTGCCAAACTAATGATCTTGAATATGATAGCGATTTCAGTTGGTTGCTGACAATGCCAAACTAAGATCTCTGATCTTTCAACTACACCACTTTGTCCCTGCAAGTATTTTAACAAATCTTAAATAATTTTTATTTTAAAATGTGAACCAATTTAATAAATTTATAAAATGTTCTAAACTTTGATTTCATGCCTACTGTGGCAGTGAATACTACTGAATAGTCTTTCCTTCTTCCATTTACTCAAACAAACAAACACTCCATGAGTTTTAGCTAGAAATACCGTGCACATGAGACTATACTTCAGAGCCTCTGTTATAGCTGATTATGACTACATAACTCAGATTTGGCCAATGGAATATAGAATTTATGTGTGAAACATTCAGATCGGGTTTATATAAGAAATCACTTGCCCTCCACTCCCTGTCTTACTCTTCCCACAAGCAGATATACAGATAGGATGTGTGGGTCAGCTTAGACCATGTGGACTAGGACGATACTCTAGAAGATGGTAGAGTGACAGAAGAGAAGGGACTAGGACCCTGAATGATCTTATAGAGCAAAGTCATCATTCATCCTGGACTGCTCTTGAACAATAGAGAAATACGTTTCTATGTTCTTTAGTCATTGTATTTGGTGTGGGTATTGGAGGGAGGGGGAGCATTTCTTTGTTATAGGCGTTTAACATGTACCCTAACTATTGTACCTACTATATGTCAGGACCTATTTTAGGTTGGGAAAGCTCCTCTTTCTGCAGAAGAGAACCAAAAAGACATCTATAAGTCCTTGATCTTATATACCTTATGTGCTAGTTGGTGTGTTGTACAGAAAAAAAAGACAAATAAATAACAATACTTGGGGAAAGGGAACGAACTCTCATAAAAGAATTCAAATTTTTTATGTGGTATGAGGAAATCAGAATAAATATATTCTTAGTCTGTTAAAGAAACTTACAGTTTTAAGCAAAATATTTAAATGTATACAACTTCATAATTAGTAATTAAAGATTATTAAATATATGGCTTTGGCGTTTCAATTAAATATTTTCTAAAATAGTATAGTGACTGCTAAGGTTTTCAGTCAGTAAATTTTTTAAATCAGCTATTTTTGTTTTTTAGAACAAAATTTCTAAATTTTGTTTCTCTTGGTGCATCCTTAATTTTATTTTTCTTTTCTGCTGAATATTCCAACAATTCTTGTGAAATCCCGGGTTAAGAGGGTGGAACCTTTGCAGATAAAGCTACTATTTGCATTCTGCAAACAGACAGTAAGAAAATAGTCCTTTAATTCAAGGTGACTGAATCAGTTTTTAAAAACCTTTAAATAGCAACTGGTCATCAACAGAGTTTATTAAGTCTTTGCTATGGAATTCTTCTGAACCCTCTCTCCTTTCCAAGTTCAACTGTGTATGCGTATGAGCTCTAAGATAGCTACAGCCTGGATTAAACCAAGAGGAAAGTAAGAATTTTCTTATTTAACACATGATATCTATTAAAGGGATACAAAGAGACTTGGAATAGTGGTTCATTCCTGTAATCCAAGCACTTTGGGAGGCAGTGGCACACACCTGTTGACCCAGCTACTTCGGAGGCGGAGACAGGGGAACCCCCTGAGTCCTGGTGGTTGAGGTTGCAGTGAGCTGTGGTCATGCCATTGCATGTGCCAGCCTGGGTGACAGAGTGAAAACCTGACTAAAAAAAAAAAAAAAAGGAAAAACTTGGAAAAAACACAAGAGTGAATTTTATATTAGCATAGGCTATCAGCATTCATATCTAAGTATTTATGTAGTGTGTATTTGCTGTATTATTGTTTGAATAAATTCAATGATGCCGTAAAAGACAAAAAAACAAAAACAAAAACAAAAACCAAGCAGGATGGAGGAAATTCCAAAGAAGTGTTTACAGACACCAAGTTAGCAGCTTCTGAAATAAGAAAAAAACTCACAGTATGTGTTAACTATAGATAATGAGTAAGGAAGTAGCTCGTGAGACACTGGCAGAATTCAGAAGATATATTAAATATAGATAGTAATTAAGCTAATACCTGTAAGATATGCCAAAGACAGATGGACAAAATAGAAAATATGATGGAACAAGTAAGTGTCAAGTATAGAAAGGGATGAAAAGCAGAAGCCATGATCACGTATGTTGCCTCTGGGCTGACAGCTCTGTCACTTATGTGCTCTACTTAAAAAATGTAAATAAAATTTGCCTAGTAGGTTAACTGGCAAATTTCAGTGGTGGTCAGGTGTACATCTACATCTCTCCCATGAAACAAGTGTTTGCTGATGGCTCTTGGTACCCTTACTCAAATCTCAACTCTGGTCCTTGTTAACACATCATAAATAGGAATGCTGATGAAACAGAGCCAGGAAGACAAGACATATGGGTACTGTACAAAGCAGAGCTCACACAGTGTGATCTTGCTACCTATATGTACTGGCAACTTGTCCAATCCCATCTTGCTAGTCTTATTTCTTGTTTTTTATCTGACACCCCCCACACACATACAATCTGAGCATATTAATTTGGTCTGTGAGTCCTTTTGGGAGAGCTTGCCTGGTGGTGTACTTGAAGGGTACCAATAAATCAAAGTAATTTCATACACAATTTAGATTAAAATCACAATATAAATACTTGTTAAGGGTACTGTTTTTGCAGTCCGACAGACTAGGTTTGAATTATAGTTTCACTACTTAAGAACTGCTTGTACTTGGCCAAACTGCTTAGCTCTCTGAATCTTAATGTTTTCATTTATAAAATAGAATTAATAACTTCCTGAAGTGGTTGTTAGAACTCAATGAGTTAACCATGTAAAGCTCATAGCAAAATTTCTGGCACAACTGGTGACAGTTATTGTTAATTCCACAATCCAGGCTCCCAGATAGCTTATTAGCTATCTATATAGTTTGCAAAACTACAAAACAGTTGTCTCATTTATTTAGGTGATAGAATACAAAAAACATTCTTGTGGAAAAACATAATATATTGATATGTTAAACTTAAAATATCAATGTAGAATTTCCCTCTAGGTCAGATACTATATTATAATATTAAAACTAAGGAAATTCTGTTTACAGCTTAACTGTTCTGTATATTGGGAAATGACCTCCATTATTTAATTTTGGCAGAAGATCAGAAAATTCACCTGGTAAGAACACAGACATACTATAGTATTACTGAATGTTGTCTGGAGCAAAAGTTATAAAAACTTGCTATCTAATCCTAAAAATAAACACTACCTTATAAAAAATCTCTAGATTGCCATTATAGCTTTCATCAGCATAGAAAGAGTAAAACATGTTTTTAGAACATAGTAATACTTCAAAACTGCAACACAATTATTTTTGTTGTCATTTTCAATTTTTGCTCCCAAAAGTAGTGAAACTCAACCAAATACTCTGAATGCATGTAGCCATGGATTCAAATCTCATAAGTAAAGCTGATCATTGCACATTAACTGATATGAAAATACAATAAGATTATTTTGAAAGACTTGTGAAACATATTAATAAATAACCTCCCAATAGTAAAAAATCTAAAATAAAATAATAAAAATAACATAAATCGCAATATCAAGATGAGAGAAAAAGGTAAATAATTCCAGAATGTTTTATATAAGGTGTTTAAAAAAACCTTTAGCTACCCATTTTTCTTCGGTGGTGGGGGTAGGGAAGTGGGGGGAGTGAAGACTAGTTGGAACAGTCCTGGTAAGTCGGATAGATAAAGATGAGATTAAGGATGACACTGGTATCATAAATCACAAAGGAATAAGACAGTGATAAAATCAATTCTTTTTACCAAGAGGAGAAGCACAGGATTATTACCCTCCAAATAATATTTATTTTCAAACTTGCTTTTACTTACTTCAGGGCTCAGGACTGCAGTGCTGTCACTTGGAACATCTTCTTCATATCCTTTATTATGATAACTTTCTATTTCATGACCTGTGCTTCCTTCACTCGGGCACTTGTTATATGAGCATCTTGGACTGTTGCTGCAGTGGGAAAATTCACATTTACTGTCTCCAACTTCTGAGGGTGTACACGAAAGATGGGGAGAACCACTGTCATCCTGATATGGTGGTGGCTGCAATTCATCCAGTGGAGGTGTTCTTCTCATTCTCTGAATGCAGCTTCCTGATAATAATTAAGAATCTGGTCACTGTTTCCAATTAGCCTCAACATGCATTACAGTCTATAATAATTGTAAATAACTTCAAAAAATGGGATTAAATTGGTGGCGACATAACTATTAGATTTACTAATGGGTTATCTTCTTCTCTTTTCAGATGCACACATAATCTGGTTCCTGACTCTTCTCCTTCTACATAGTAAGATTAGGAAAAATAAAAGCCATGTATTAAGAGAGACTTTGTTATACCATAAAAATGAAAGAGTGATAAGTATTAAATAGCTTATTTATTTGGTTCTCTCTGAAAACAATCGTGCAGCATACATACTTCTTCATCATCTGTGGCCTCTACAGTCAAAATAATAAAAATATGATAGGTAAAAGAAACCTAAAAACCTCATCTATTTTATTTAGTTACTGAGATTAACATAAGCTAGCAGTGCTAGAACTGTTTTTCTACATCTGTCTTGGATCCAGAATCCTAAAATGAGGTGCACTGTGAATCAGGCTTAATCCCTGTGTGCTAACCTCTGTCTCTTATCCTAATTATTAAGACCCTCTATCACAGTCTACACCTGTGTCTGTATTCTTTCTAGAGTATGACTCCACCTTGTCGCTAGTGGGCATCTCTACATCTAGCAGTTAATGTGAAACCATATTTGCTTTCATTCTTATTCTTTTAATTTTTACCTGAATGATTCATATCATTGATTGAGAATAACCATATCTGTGAACAAAGATGGAATTGGGGACAGGAGGAAGATAAGGAAATAGAGTCCAGTATACAATTTAAGACAGCTAAGTCTGTGTAGATAAATCCAGAATACAATATCAGATATTAAATTTTAACACTGCTCATTTTTTCTTTTGATGAACTGTGCATCTTCTTTTTCAAAAGGGACCCTGAAAAAGGTATTATGTATTATAATTGTTATGGAGTTCAGTTCAAATATTCAAGTTCCTCTGTTGAACTGTATGTAAACAGTTGTTACACTGTATTGCTTAGGAAATAATGACAAGAAAAAAAGTCTGTACATGTTTGTACAGATGCAAACATCCATTTTCCCTTTGAATATTTTCCATCTATGGTTGGTTCAATCCACAGATGCAGAACCCATGGATATGGAGGGTCAACTGGACTAACTTTAGTTTACAAAACATAAGCAAAAAGTTTAAAGGTTACTGAATTAATATTGTTGAAACTAAATTAGAGAAGGCAGATTAGACATATTGCAAGTAGTAGCCAAAAATCCCACAAAATTCCAGAATAGAAAAGAGACAAATGGTTTTAAGTAATTATCTATCTTGATCCATTTATGTGGGATAGGTAAGTGTGTGTGGTTGGCAGTTGGCAGGCTGATTCAACCCGATCCATGTCCTGTTTCTCTTCCAAGCCTCATTCTAGTTAGAGTGGCCAAGGAGATCTCAGAAGATTTCAGAGTAGAGCTTCTAGGAAAGTTTTTCTTTTCCTGATAAAGGCAGGTAGACTCAACTGGCATTCCTTTGTTCCTTCATCTTTCCTCTTCCTCCTGCTTGGAGGGGAGGCAGTCACTCTTGTGGCAAAGAAGTGACAAGCATGAGAATGAACACTAAAAATAGAGAAACAGAAAAATGGAGTCCGAATATCTGAGACATCACTAAGTAGCTATCACCGAGCTTGATGCCTGAGACAAATAAATCCTGATTTGTTAAAGAAAAACAAAAACAAACCCTGATAGTTAGATTTTCTGTTTTCAAATACATTATCAACTGATTCAATCTATAAATTATTAAATTGACACCGTCCTCTCCTTTAAAAACGCATCTTTAATCAATCATTAATTACATTAAATGGCAATAACTACTTTCTGTAACACGAAATCCATTAAAATTTTCCCAATGTAGTTCCAGGAGTCAGCACACCATCTGTTCCCTTACCTTTTTCCTTAGAAGAGAGGTGATCTTTCCCATAAGTCTCTCAGCATACTGCCTCACAGATCTCACTGGACAGAGTCACATGTCTATTCCTAACCCCATCACTGATAGGAGGAATGGGATTACCATGATTGGTTTAGATGAATCCAAGCCATTAAAATTTGAAGCTGGGTATGGGACCAGCTTTACTGTTCATATCTACATAGAAAAGAGTAGATGCCTGAACAACGTAGGATCCAGAGGGAAGGATGAAAGAGTGTTGGCTAGAAAGCAAACTTGATCCAGTTCTTGCCTTCCTCATCCTTCAATTTGGCAACTCCACCTCAGTTTTCATCTTGATTACTTTTTCTCTCTGTGGTTCTTTTTTTCCTCAATAGCTATTCCACTACAATAATCTTTTTCTGAACTTCCTTTTGATGTGCTAGAAAAACATAATTTCTGTTGGGTACTAATGTTGCACTCTATTTCCTTTGGTTTACTTTATTATATCTGGTCCCTGCCTAGTTGCCAGCCAACTAGTATATTTTTCACAGCTGGGCTCCAGTCATCTGGCATTTGTTTATTAGATTTAGTGTAACTTGCTTCAGAGACCAAGGCACAAGTTGCACAAAATGGGCATGTGATATTTAAAGACACTCAGTAGACTCAATGGGTAGAATTCACTATCGTTTTCTGGATTTGAGTAAAACAACATCAAAGCTGTGAACTGGAATATATAATTTATATTAGGCACACCTGATATCCTCAAAGTTTGAAAAATAATAATACCACACTTTTATCATTACTTTTGCATTTTACTTTTTAAAGTGAAGAACACACAATTGTAAGTGGGGTAAAAATTTTATTGAAAATATATAGTCATAACGTTCTCTCCTTTTTTAACTTTTGCAATAATCTCTTCTTATTCTAAATGGAAACTACTCCATATTGTATATGCAGTGTGACAACTAAGAGCTTTAATGTAACTAATATTGACAATTTTTAAAGATAATTGTTTCTATAAAGTAACAACATTATATCATTGTTGTTAAATTACACTGTGAACATCAATCTTAAGAAGAAATTTCTAGTGGAACTATCCAACACCAAAATGATGATGCCTCCCTCATTACTTTAGTTCTTGTTTTACTACTTAATTTCATACCCCTATTTTTATGGTAATGATATATCCATAAGAGGATTCAGGCATAAATATATTTTAAACATTTTAATTTACCGTCTGCATATTACATAGAACCTACATAATAAGTATTTTCTTGGAAAAAAAATAGCATGCGTACATACATGGAATATGATTTGTGGTTCTTCACATTATGTTTTAAGACAGTGGTAAGAAGCAGAGTTCTAAAAAAAGAAAAACAAAAACAAAAAAATAGCATGCGTACATACATGGAATATGACTTGTGGTTTTTCACATTATGTAGTTCTTCACATTCACAATTGTAAAATTCACTTTTCAAGTACTTGTGGAAATTTGCCAAAACTGATTTTATGCTGGGTAATAAATTAAGGCTCAACACATTTCACAAAATTGGAAGCATAAAGAGGATGTTTTCTGACCACTGAGGAATTAAACTAGAAATCAGAAACAAAAATATAACTAGAAAATCTACAGAAATCTAGACAAAAATAACTAGAAGTTAAAATATACTTCTTAATAACACACAGGTCAAAGAAGAAGTCACAATATAAGTTAGAAGTATACTGAAGAGAACGATAATAAAAACAATCCGTATAAGTACTTGTAGAATGCGATTGAACCATGCTTAGAAGAAAATTTATAGGTCCAAGTGTACATATGGGGGAAGAGGGGAGGCTGACAATGATCTAAATACCCACTTCAAGAAGTTAAAAAAGCCAGCAAATTGAATCCAAAGGAAGTAGAAGAGAGAAAACAATAAGGAGCAGAAATTAAGTAAAAAGCACACACATAATAGAAAGCACCAGCAGACCAAAATAAAGTTCACTGAAAACACTAATAAAATTGATAAACTGCTAGAAGAGACTAGTCAGGAAGAAAAAGAGAGACAATATAAATTATCAAAATGAGGAATAAAAAGGGGACATCATTTCAAATCCTACAGACATTAAAAAGACAGCGATTTTCCTTTTGTTCTTCCCTTTTGAAGCCCTAAGCCATTAAGTGGGGCAGAGGAAGGCAGAGATCTACTAATAGTGGCAAAGGAAGCTGTAATGGTCCACAGCCATGTCCAGTGTGCTATTTTGGGGTCCATGTGTGATGAGAAGGGTGTCCATGCCCATATACGGGGTAGAGGCCACCAAGCATATAATATCGGAACCTGGGTGAGAAAGGCCTTCATTTCAGGGAGTGGCCAGAAGTGAGGTGTCAGAGCTCAAGTTGGGTAAAGAGGGTATGCACCCATAAGGGCAGTCCTACATAACGTGCTGTAGCCCAAGCAGGGTGAGAAAGGCCTGGCGAGGGAAGTCAGAGCCTTAGCAAGATAAGAAGGTTCCTTGTCAGGGGAGGTAGCCTGGCCTGGGGCAACAGAGCTCAAACAAGGTGAGGAGTGTGTCTATAATGAGGAAAGGGGAGTCCAAGCATGAGAAGGATCAGAGCCATAAAGTCAGGTGACCGGTGTGGGCTGTGAAAATCCAGGTAGGGTAAGAAGGGTGCCCATGCAGAGGGGTACCTGGTAAAGGATATCAGAGCAACGAGCAGGGTGAGGGTTGTATCTGTACATGCAGGTGGCCTGACCTAGAAAACCAGAGCCTAAGCAGGATGGGGGGGTGTCCAATGTGAGGGTGGCCTGGAGTATGGTGCTAATGCCCAAGTGGGGTGATACATGCAAAGGGATGGGTGGGCATGTGTGCAGACTGATCAAATTATATATATATATATAAATGTTAATGGCAACTAGGTCTTTCACTGATGGAAAAGGGAGTTACAAATTTGAAAAGAGAAAAAGAGAACAAACTCTTTGGTGTTAGACCAGAATTAGATATATCAATGTGAACTCATAGTTAAAAAATATAGATAGAAGTAAATATAGTGAAATGTGCATATGACATGTATGCACCTATATTTACGCACACCTATACATAAATATTCAGTTTTGCTTGCTGAGATGCT